AGTTATATCACTATAATAATGCAAGTCTTGGTCACAGCCAATTCAAAGATGGCCTTCTTCTTTTTTCAAAGTCAACATTTATGTCTCCATTTTTTTCAAACCCCCAAGTCAAAGTATAACTATAAGAGGAAAAGGAAACGCAGAGAATATATTTTTCTCTTATTTGTTTATAACCTTGGTCTGAGTTGTGATGTAATCTAAATCAGAGAAGCAGTGTCTTCTGTTTACAAGTCTTGAACTTTGACTTGTTCCCTTGGTTGGTCAGTCACTTGTATGCTTGCAAACCACTTAAGATTAAATATAAAAAAGTTCACTTGTATTGTATGCTTGCAAGCCCCTGATGATCATGGGCCTGCCTCCTGCCACAGGCCAAGGAAACCCATTTATTGAAGACTTGAAGTGAAAAGTTTCATGTATTTTATTGCTCTCAAGTTCTCAACAAAGTTAGAGTTCTTCTGATAAAAGTTTATGACTTTATAAGCTAAAGTGAACTGAGAAAAGAAGAAAACTCCTGTCCTTTGGATCAGTAACGACCCTTAATCATAAGGTTCAAATCAACGGTTAAGATCTGCACACTAGTTTATAATGCAGGAAAAAAAGAAAAAAAGAAACTTGTCTGAAGAAGAAGAAGAAAGAGAAGAAGACAAAGCAACCACATGAGCATTTGAAACAAAGAAAGCAAGCAAACAATAAGAAATATATAAGAATAATAAGTAAAGTGAGGGTTGCTGTATTTGATCAGAACCCAAAAGCGGTCCTGCTCTGAATCACTGGTTTTCTAAATTTCCGAAATTGAAAAAAAGGCCAGAGTGTAAGTGGGGGGTACTGGGGTCTGAGGTAAAGGAACAGAAAAAGTAAAAGAGTTAGTAGCAGTAAAAGCTCAAACCGTACAATCTTCTGCTCACACAGGCATTAGCTTCAGATACCAACTCTATAGTCTCTCAGACAGACAGATATAATAACACTGAATAATTAAATAATCTTTTTTCCTTTTTGTTTTTGTTTTTCAATTTTTTTAAACATTTACAACTTCTTTATTCACTTCCCTTTAGTTTATGGATTTCTGTGGAGTTGTCAGAGACAAGAGCTGCCACAGAGGCAGAAGCTTAGCTGCAGAACCAGAAGCAACAGAGGTGCAGTCATAATATGAGCACAGAGGAGAGAGGAGAGAGGAGAGAGGAGAGAGGAGAGAGGAAGAAAGAGGAGGTGGCAATGGCATGCAGCACTGTAATCAGAACCATTAGTTTTATCCATGTACAGAAGATTCTGCAGCTAAATGGTCCCTGAAATAAATATACCTACTCTACTCTCTCTGCTCTGCTCTACTCTCAAACTCAAAGGCCCTCCCTCTCCCTTTACTAATAATATTGAAATTGAATCATGCAAGTGCAGCCCAACCCCATCCTGTTTCTCTCATCTTTTCTCTCTTTCACTGCTCTGTGAAGTCTGAGACAACCAAGTTTTTGGTTTCATATTTTTCTTTCCAATTTGTTCTTTGGAGGAAACTTGCTTGCTCTTTCTTTCTGATTTGGGATTTCCCTGCCTCTTCAATAATAATAATGAGTGGGAGAACCAGGTTTCCTTTTACACCGTCTCAGTGGCAAGAGCTTGAGCACCAAGCTCTTATCTACAAGTACATGGTTTCAGGCATCTCCATCCCACCTGATCTCCTCTTCTCCATCAAAAGAAGCTGCTTGGACTCTCCTCTGCCTTCAAAGCTCTTCTCACACCCTCCGCATAGTAAGCCAACTAGTACAACACATCCCCCCTTTTTATCTTCTCTCTCTCTCTCTCTCTCTCTCTTGTGTGTGCATAGAATGGAACTTTAGAGCTTTTTGAATGAATAATATTTTGGGTTTTGCTTACAAGAAGGTTCCTTGTTATGTTTGTGTGGATTTTGCAGTTGGATGGAGCTGTTTCCAGATGGGTTTGGGGAGGAAAGTGGACCCAGAGCCAGGAAGGTGCAGAAGAACAGATGGGAAGAAATGGAGATGCTCAAAAGAGGCATTTGCTGATTCAAAATACTGTGAGAGACACATGCACAGAGGCAAAAACCGTTCAAGAAAGCCTGTGGAAGTTTTCAAAACACCAATTACAACAAACTCAAACCCATCATCACCAACACCAACAACCATCTCATCAATCACATCCAAGAACAACCCCCCTTCTACATCAACCCCAACCTTCCATTCCCTTTCTTCATCACTCTCATCACTGTCCTCTGAGTCCCACCACACTCAGCTCAACCACTCTAGTTACAATACCAATCTTGATCATCACCCTTTCCTTTATCATCACACATCTTCTTCAAGGCCTCCTGGATTTGGTTTGTCACATCAAGAAAGAAATACTTCCTTGCTTCTGGACTCTGGTTCTTATCCCCAAGCCAGCTCAGAATACAGGTATGTCTAGAAACAACTCACAAAGTTATGGTACTTATTTTCAATGTGTTTTATGTTATTTCTTTGATTATTTAAGCTGTTCATGGTTAAAATTTTGTTTTGTTTTTTGTTATTCTGGGAGAAGAAATAGGTATGTTTATGGGCTGAAGGAGGAGGTGGATGAGCATGCATTCTTCTCAGAACCTTCGGGGTCTGTGAGAGACTTCTCTGGCTCTTCATCTATGGATGACTCTTGGCAGTTCACACCACTGACAATGAGTACTTGCACTTCTTCATCTTCAAAACAGAGAAGCTGCTCTGCTTTACAGAGTGAACACTCTCACTTGCAGCTTCAGAGCAATATCACTCCTAAACAGCAGAATTACTATGCTTTGGGTAGTGACATGAAAATGGACAGAAATGAAGGAACCCAGAAAACCATTCATCGCTTCTTTGATGAGTGGCCCCTGAAAGACAAAGATTCATGGCTTGACTTGGATGATAAATCATCAAACAGTGGATCAGTTTCAAACACCAGGCTCTCAATCTCCACTCATGACTTCCCCGTCTTCAGCTCAAGAAATCATAATGGTACTTACACTGTTTATTTTCAGTTTGTCAATTAATATTCATTTGTTTTGAGTTAATTAGCTATACTGTTCTTGATTGTTCAGACCCAGTTGTGATCTTTGTCTATTAAGTTCATTTTGTTTGGTTTTGCAGATGACTGAGTCTCTCTCTCCAGTACTGGTTTCTGAATCAAAGGCCAAAAACTGTACTTACCTCGTGTGTCACTTTAATTTTGGTGTTTGGGTGTTTGTGTGTAAGGTCTAATTAGAAATTGACCATTTTCTTTTATTTTATTAGCTGAATGTGGTTGAATCAGATTACTGTGTTTTAAATGAAGGATCCTATGTCTCTGGTCATCTTGGTTTCATGTCCTACTCTACTTCATATAAGAGGTTCCAAATGAGTCAGCCAAACCTGTTTTATTTTTAGGCTACCATTTTGATGTTTTGTTTGTTTGAAATCATAATTGAGGGGACCCAATGGACCCAGGATTTGCTAAATATTTTGTCAGTTCTGAATCTGAGCTTACACCAGGTTATGTTGGCAAAGAGTAAACCATCCTTGTAATCTTCAAACCAGGGCAAGCATTGATCACCTTATAAATATATCCCCCAGCCATTATATACAGGGAAAACGACTCTTCATCAAATGGCTTTTCCCTTCTTTCTTGGTCCCTGTTAAAACAACTTACTTTGTATATATATACAGTAAAAGAAACCAGAGAAAAGAAGAAAAAAACAAATTTAAGAAAAAGGAAAAGAAAGAGAGAGTGATATTAGATGCACGTGCAGTAAGCAGTGACAGTAGCAGATGCAGATATAAATCTGTGTTTAAAATTGTATAAGAATCCGTTTACAAAGCTGAGGAACCAAACATAAATTGGCGCACGCATGTTTTCTTTGAAAAGATGCCAACCACTCTGCGGCTTCAAATCTTAGATCATGCAAGTTTTATTCACCCAATATCTACAAAAGAGCTAGCTGCCAATTCTTCAACCCATATATTAAATAGGACATTTATGTTGGATCCTCAAGCATGTTAAGCCTAATAAATGAATCTACAATATATTTTTTGTTGTTTTTTTTTTTGGGAACTCACTCTTTGGTAATGACCCCATTGCAGTCTTGCATATATATATATATAACAGATACTGCTTGCCTCATTTTCTGTAAAAATATACTCTTCCTTGTGAATTAGAGTTTGACACATGTACAAAAATAATTCATAAAAAATACAGAGAAAAGCTCTTACACACGTCACACTGCTATTGGCATGAATATAGAAACTCTTACTTATATAGTAAGGAGGGAGTATTTTCTTATATAACCAGATGTTGCAATATATGCTTATTTTTTTATTTTTTTTTATTGTTTTCTTGGGAAAAGCTTGAAAATCAACTTAAAAGGGAAAAAGGTGGAAAAAGACCCTAAATTAAATATTCTGATGTTATTGGAACTAAAGTAAACTGGGTTCTTAAAAGTTGAAACTGCTGAAACAGTCCTGATCCCACTCCACAAGAAAGAGAGTGTATGGGCGTGAAAGTGTTTAGTCATATAGAAATAAGGAAGCCAAAATAGGCAGAAGGGAGAGGCAGCGAAGCTTTAGCAGAAACAGCAACACTAATCTAATCTGAATTGTTCTGAGGCCTCTGTTGGGTGAGTGGGCCTGTGGTTGGATACTTGGATTGGACCAGAAAGAGGAAAGAAGAGTCTGCAGATTTCACCATCTTTGCAGACTTAAAAAGACTTCTACACATCACTCATATCAGTTGGCAGATAACTCGATGTGCACTCTCAAGTCTCTAACACCTCACAGTTTCGAAAAGAACAAAAGTGGAGAAGCTTCATCTTATGCACTGTCGTTTCAACTCAAGGAGAAATCTTGAAAGGAAAACTTTTAGATGTAACTAAAATTTTCAACTCAAACATCTGCAAATGATGAGACTCTTGCTTACATCTCAGACGCATGTGGTGATCCTATGGTTCAACCTCCATCATCTATCTATCTACTAGTGTCAATTGCCATGAGATGCCCTCCAGAAATACGATCAATCACTAGGGGTTCAGTCCCACCGGACATGCCCAGGTTTTCCAGAAGAGAAAGGGGGGGCCGGCACTAGAAATGAGGAAATGAAGCTTCTATTAGAATTTTTTTCTTTTTTCTTTTTATTTTTTAAAGTTACAGAATACATGAAAAGAATTCTCAGAACTCTGGGGATCACAAACGGAAACTATAAACAATGTAGTGATCCTCAGTGAATAACTCATGCCTTCATATAAATATATTATTTGTTCAAAATTGCAAGACATATTTACTCCTGATTCCGTAGAGCTCAAGATGATGGGTCTTAATCATCATCATCAAGAGCGGCCTCTCCATTCACTTTATCACCGCCTTCTCTGCCTTCTCCATCACTCTGTAACTCTGCAGAATTTTCTCTTACAGGACTCGACCCCGGCTGCCTCTCTTGTTGCTCATCATCATCAGATTCTGACCATGCCCTCCTTCGTCGAAGTGTGGTTGTTGAAGGTGCAGCCTAGAACATAAGATGAATATGTTACAGCCAGCAGGAAGTGAAACATTTAGTCTCTCAATGCATTTCAGCAAGAAATTTTCAGTATAAAATTTACCACCTCATCCTCGGCATCAGAATCTTCAAGCCCAGCTGCTGCAAGAGGATCTTGAACATTCTCTTCATCATCCTGCTCATTCATCTGACCGGTAGGCTCCCTGTAATTCGTGTTGGCATCTTCATCTTCCAGTTCTTCCTGATCTTCCATCATATCAGCTTCTGCTTCCAATGTGTCGTAACGAGACCTTGAGAATTTGTCCTTCTTTCTCCTTTTTCCACCTTTTCTCCTTCTCTTTTCACTATTCCCGCCCTCCTCATCATCCATTTCTGATCTTTCCCTTCGCTTAGAACCAGGTGTACTGCTCTTCCATTGCTCCTGAAGATGCAAAAAGTTTGGGGCAATTAGAAACATGAAATTCTTCAACCAAGTTTAGATGTAAAATAAATAAATAAAAGCTTTCCACTTCCTGTATCATTCAGCATCCATCTATTTTCTATGAGAATAGCCTGTTTGGATACTACATTAGCATTCTCAGATCTGTACAGATCTCTCTAGAACTGCAGAATTATTCAAAGATATAGTTCTTTGATGATTTTCATAATACAAGCTAACCAATCGTTGACCTGGTGCTCAGAGTTGAGCTTGGTAATATAAGACTTGAAAGAGAACTGCCACATTCCAATTAGGGGCTGCCAAGAAGGAAGTATCAGTATAGACAACTCAATTATCAATCTTTACCTTGATGCGCTCAAACTGTTCCTCCTGTTGTCTCACTCGCTTCAGTTCGTCCTCTTGCAATCTTCTCTCCAACTGTTACACAAAAGCATCAATAAATGTATGATGTGAACTCATACAAAAGTATTAATCCATTAATCATCGTCGTACACAGAATGAAGCAACTTTCAAATACCAAACCTGAAATTTCCTCTGTTCTTCAGCCTTACGACGGGCTTCCTCAGCCAATGCCATCTGACGAGCAACTTCTTGTTTGTGCCGAATCTTCTGCTCCTCATGCTCAGCTACTTTGAAGTGAACTCTCGCAGCCTCAAGCAAGTGACTACAATACTCAACATGGGTGTCAATTTTTTTCTCATCAAACCCATGAAAGTGAAGGCTGGAAGCAGCAGACAACTGTCTAAATAAGCGCACAGCATTTTCTAGCTCTGCAACTGTTGACCGCACCTAAAACATTGATACAAACAGAAATTTATGTGCTCATGAGAGAGAGAGAGAGAGAGAGAGAGAGAGAGAAATCACAAATTAAACATGCATTGAATAAATGTACAGGCCAATCAAATTTCAAAGAAATAGCATTACATATAATCACAAAGACACTACATTGCGCAACATGACAACCACAAATTTCTTAATCCTGGGTTGGCAATTTCTCTCACAAAATTCTTAATTCAGGGTTGACAATTTCTCTAAACAAGATAAATCATAATAGGGTGAAAACATGAACACAGGTATGACTGACTATGAGATAAAAATGAAAACCAGATAAGTATTGGTGGTGGACCGTGGCATCGTTGATTTTGTTGTTGTTGTTGTTCTTATTATTATTTAGTGTTTAAAAAAAATATATATTTATAAAAAAAAACCCTACATAAAATGTTCTCATGTATGCAAAAATCAATCTAAGACAAATCTAAATGATCAAATTCTATTATCTCCTAGCCATCCTTCTTCCTGCTTCTTGTCCTACATCATGATATCCAAGGTTGAGCCACATTGAAACACACAAAAAGCTTTTAGTGTGACAACAAATGTAAGGCAAGAAATTTTGAGAAGGTTTTCCATCAAACCTCATCAACGGATTTCTTTGGCTTTTGTAAGGTTGAAGCTGAGAACTTTTGCATTACAACACCTGCATCAAACCTCAGCGTGTAATTTGAAGGTGCCAGATGAATGGCTCGCAGCAAGTTCTTTTTGCAGTCTTGCCACTGCTCAGCTTCATAGTGGGTACGAGCCAAATAGAGTAGAATCTGAGAGTCTGTGTTATTAAAGAACTTTCTCAAGCAATTTTGGTACTGCAAGACAACAAGAGTCATCAGCACATGTATACGCCATCAAAAGAATCTGGCAAAAAGAGAAGAAGCATAGAATAGAGATGAGATGAATTCACCATTTTCACAGCCAATGCAAAATTGCCTTGAGCAAAATAAACATGTGCCAAGTTTATCCACACATCTGGCATCTGAACAAAAATGTTCCCACTAGCAGCTTCTTGAACCTACCATAGTACAAATGAAAACAGTAAACCATTCATGTACTAAAATGAGTTACTTTATATAGATATCGAGAGATCGATCATACAACTCACCTGTGTAAAAATGTCTTTTGAAACATCAAAGTGACCTTTCTCTGCAAAGACCACTCCAGCACCATTGGCAGCATACAAATTAGCAGAATGTTGGGCTAGGACCTATAAGCATGACAAAACAAATATTGGGTTTTCGCAACTGAAAAGAAATGAAATATCAGGTTTTCTGTTACCATGGTTGCCAAACTCTAGATTCAAATAGTACAAAATACAATTGAAAGATTTTAGGAATGTCAACTAATAAAAATGGTTCACAGACCACACCTAAAATCACCCCAATGATAAAATAATAATGTGCATTTACATTCAAGCCATAGAGCTCATAGAAATAATTAATCAAACATGCCACAAATAACAAAAAGGAGAGAGAGAGAGAGAGAGAGAGAGAGAGAGAGAAACATACTTTAGTGTAGAGTTCTTTGGCTTTTTCTAAATGCGTAGCTTCCAACTTAGGAGCTCTTTTCTCATTGCGAATTGCCGCAAAGTAGTTCCAGTTGCCCTTGAGAGTGACAAAAAAGTGTGTGAGATGTAAATAATACTAAAGTAACAACTACAATGGCAAATGTGTTTCCATTGACGCATAGAAGATGCAATTATGAAATAAATTTTAAAAAGTTTTCTTTACAAACTTTACAGAACACCAAAAGTCATCATTTATGTATTATATATCTAAAAAGAATTGAGAGAAGCATGCACACTAAAACAATACACACCAGAGAAAGAGTGGCATAGGAATCCTTCCCCTCGGTTGCTTCACTTGCAGCCCTAAAGGTTTCTTTTGCCTTAACCCAGTCATCATTTTTCAATTCCAAGTCACCAAGCATTAATAGTGCATTTGGGCACTTGTTATTCACCTTCAGAGCATCATTAACCTGTAGAAAGAGCAAGTCAATGTTGGAACAATGTGCGCATGCGTGTGTTTGTGTGAGAGAGAGATAGAAGGAGAGTATTAGGACAAAGGGAGTTAAAGGTATAATAACAACCAGTTCAATGCTTAGTTGAAAATTATTTCGAGCTTTCGCAAGGGCAGCCAGTCTCAGATAAGCATCTACATAGTCTGGGTACTGCAAAGAAGAACAGAGTTTAAACAAACCAACCCAAGAAAGAAAAAAAATTGAACCATGATACATCAAAAGGTCAGCTCCCGCAGGTGTTTTTCTTTATTTATTTATCAGTACTTTGTGGTAACCTTGGTTTTTTTGTTTAAGCATGAAAAATTCCATTACTAGCACCATGAAGTAGGAGATGCATCATGGTCTTTTCCAAGTGCCAAATGCCCAATTACTCAGAATTGAAGACCAGGTTCTATGTTCATAACAACATGGTACTGGTAAACATGCCCTATTAATTCAGCATCTGCATGGAAATTCTTCTCTTTGAGACGGTCTAAAATCTTTAAGTTCACATCACCAATGACAAAAAGTATCAACATATTTTTTTTAAACCAAGTTTTATACTTTAACTGGAGCAACCAGATGGATGTAAAAATATAATCATGTAAAACAATTTTCCTCCAGTGCTATTACAACATAAAACAAGCATATTCATGCACGAGCACAAATAGAAAAGACGTACCTTAAACAAAATGAGACGGTACAATATACTTGCAGTTTCAATGTTATGCAACTGCTCGAGTAATCTGGCCAGGTTAAATAGTGTTGTGACTTTATTCCAGGGTAACTCGACTAAGTGACCTTCTTTCTCAAGTTGATGAAATATATGCAGGTCCTTGTATTGTGAAATAGATGCATTAGCATCAATAGATGGGGGGTTTTCTTTACCATCAATGAAGGCAAGCCATATTCCATCACCTAGTGCCTCCCTGAAAGTTTGCTGAGCAAACTGACAAACAGAAGAATATGCAAAGATATCAAGCTACGTTTGCTTGGTGTAGCAATTACAATTATCCAGGAAGAAAACAAAACAAGCAATCTTAAAACTACTCAAACCTACACAACATTTTATGAAAGTGCAAAATGTAGATGCTGATACTTAGCATCTGCCACACAGACAATTTTAATTGCATCAAAGATATCCTTGGAGAACTGCACAAACCTCAAATTCACCCCTCTCAAAATGAAGAACCCCAAGATTGTTAAGAACTTCAATTGGTACTTCTTCACCTTCCTTTTTCAAAAGATTACGTGCCTGAAGTAATAATTGACAGCTTAATAAACCTTCAAAGGAAATTACTAGATTCCAACAATGAAGGAGAAAAAGAGCTCCATTTAATATAAGGATGATCATTCTTGCTATTTAGGACAGAATAACAAGAAATCCATACCGTTTTTAGGCAATCCAAAGCAGCTCCACCATCAGATGAAATTAACAGTTCTCCTAGGTCAAGAAATGCCTGTATTGTAGTCCGATAGAAAAAATTAAAATAAAAGTTCGAGCTAGGACATGGCTCGCCATACATACTAAAATTTCAAGATGCATTTCAAAACGACCACATAACACCTCTATTCATCCAAAAACAACTATTATCATCTTGGCTATGTACAGAAGCATCCTGTTTTAGTACGGGCACAGGATGTGAGACTCAGCCAATTGCTAGATAACCCATGAGGATACAGCTACACACAAGGGTTCCAGTGAGCATTATACCAAACATGTACCATCATTATCAACACTATTACTGTGTTTCTTTGCGAAGACTGAAGAGCAACAAAGACAAACAATGATGAAAAAAGTATATACAAGGAGAACCCCTAACCAATTGGCATAGCAAACCTCTAATAAACGGAGATTAACGTAAGAGTGCTACACCAATAAACAGGAAAGAAAGTATCAGATACATGTGGACTGTGGGCATAGGTTATGTTAGCAAATTCACACAAACCAATTCTCACTGGGGAAAAAATCCACAAGGACACAACTCATCAAAGAATAATAAAGAGGATTGATAACCTGGGAATCACATGGGTCAATTTTTGTAGCCTTCCTCATAAATTCCAAGGCCTTCTCAGTCTGTCCAAGCTGAAAATATATGTGCCCAAGGACCTAGAGAAAAGGGAAATTAGCAAAGTAAATCAAACTAACAGAAAAAATATATCATTGATGCCAACATACTTTCATTTCACATTTCAACTCACTTTCAACGCGTCACAATTATCAGGGTACACCTCCAAAACCTTTTCAAAGTTTGATAGTGCACTTCTAAGATCTCCCATCTTCAGTTGTACTTGTCCCAAACCTGTCACCATGAGCCCAAAAATTATGCACAGAACTAGGTGAATGCAAACAATATTACATGAATATAAACCTGCTTCTCCGTGCAGATTTCGGCATACTACTGAAAAATGTCTTATTAACAGGCCTAGTTGAAGTATGCATGCCAAGGAAAACAATGACAACAAAAGATGTGGACTTAAAAAGAGAAATTATGTTAAAGTCTTGCAGAAGATATATTACATTACAATCATTACTAATACTATGCCAAAACATCATACTCAGGCAAAGTATAAGCACAGAAGATTGTAATGATTGATGGTAACTGACCATAATAAGGAAATACGAACTCAAGGGGTTTACTGATTTCCTTGACAGATGCCATGTAGTACACTCCAGCCTTCTCATAGTCCCCCTGAAATCCAGCGAAAATAAACATTTGTAATGTTTGTGATCCATTGTATGCATGACTAAAATGTATAAAGTTGATGTCATCAAATCAAATGAGGCCACAAGACTTGCTAATAATTTATCTTCACTTATTTGAAAGTGTTCGTTGCCAGCAGTTAGTAACAGTATTGATGACAATTTCATTATCAGGCCACCTTATGCATTTGTTTAGCTAGGAACCACAATAGATGGTCGAGTTGCATGTGGAGCTAAATGCTGCCTAAGATAAATCACTAATGGATGATCAACCACATTTAAAAACACACACACACAGAAGTCGCCAGAAAGCATGTGATTGTACAGAACACAACTTCCTCTGCCTCAAAATTTCCAATTAATACAGTACAGAAAATGTAAAGAACCCCTTAATGATAACAAGAAAAGCATGACCTCTTCATAAACAAAATAATAATAATATAATGCATAATCTTTTACTAACCTTGCTATGGTAAGATCGTGCCAAATTGTAGTAGGAATGTGACTTTGTCGGTCCATGGTTGGTGACAGCAAGTGCAGTTTCAGTTAGTTGCTCAACTAGAAAGTGCTGACCAGTGTAGAAAAAATGGTTTGCCAAATAATTCAAGGCCATTGCGCAGTAGGGGTATATCTCAAAAGCTCTCTGCATTTTTTCCATTCCTCTCCTTATTCCAGCAGCTGTCAAGTAATATATCCTGAATATTAGACTGCTCAAAAGAGAGAAGTATGGACAAATAATAACTATCAAACTAAACACAAGTGCAACATATAGAAATGCTGACTTGTATGGTTGTACCTGTATTTGCATGCAAATCCATAATCGCAAGTGCAACAAGAGCCTCAACATTTTCTGGATCTAGCTGCAAGTATAAATTCATTTTGTTAGAAACTGTGGCATTTAACACCTTCGCCTTATATTAATGCATCATTCATTCGCTGATATCACTTGCCTGTAAAACCCGTTGAAAGGCCTGCCGAGCTTTTTCAAATTGACCCATTTTGTAACGACAGAGACCTATGCCAAGTCTTACAGCAGCAGGACAATCGGGATGTACTTGCAGGGCCCTCTTTATCAAATTTCACAAAAGACAAGTTAAATCAACAATTAGCGTTCGTAAAAGAAATATCTTCACAAAATTACCAAATTTCTACACTGCAGAGGGCTACCCATAACCCCAACCAATTCAAATACAAATAACAACTTCTAGAGGTTCAGACCATATACATTCTTGTGTTCTTCCCATTAGCAAACAGTGGGGTGAAAAATACAAACCTTGTACAGCTCCAATGAATCCGAGTAATGCCCACGGTTGAACTCAACGCATGCCTGCAAATAACAGGGGCAAGGTGTTCACAACAAATGAAGCATATCTACACTAACCAAGCCCAACCCAATTTGGTCTCTCTTGCTCTCTCTGGGACAACCGGCTCTGTTATATTTCAAATGAGTTCTCTCTTGGTCTTAATTTAAATTCTATTCCGTTAGCTGCTATCTAACACTAAATTAGTCACTCCCATGTACCATTGCCAATTTTCTGGCCACAGGGCCATGCTCATAGATCATGGATTCACAGCTAGCCAAGTACCTCACACGTTAAAAATTTACACCCATAATCAACACGCTTTAGAAAGAATTATTGAAAGGAAAAGAGACAGTGTTCAAGATACGATATACTGATAAAGCCAAGATGAGGAAGAGCAATAACTAAAAAACTAACTATATCTTCTATTTTCCTTATCATATGCTGATATATTCATCACATCTTTATCCATGCGATCTTTGAAAATGGCAAGCATAATTACTTTGCTAAGCAGAGAAATTCAATGTATATACCTGACCCAAAAGGGCAGGAACGTTGTCCCGGTCTCCATCTAATACAATTTTGAATGCAGAAAATGCTTGATCAACTTCACCTTTAGCCAATAAAAGCTGACCTGAAAGACATGTAATAAAATTTCAAGTATCATAAGATGCATCATATAACAGCAGCAAAAAGGTTGCCCCTACATTATCTCACAATATAGATTCTTCTGTGACACTCATTGAGAATTTAGACACATAGTAGTACGAGTAAGCAGTAGAAGTATTATAGACCAAAACCAGCAAGTTTCAGAACATAAATTGCAAACACAAAGAAACTTTATGTGCCATACAGACAGAAGGATACACAAAATTTCTTTGGATTCCATACTTCACGACTACGACATGAACAAGAACATAAGACCAGTTATTGAAGACTCTAAGATGCCACATCAAGCAGTTTCTAGGATGGCAAACTACAGATCAACTACCAAGCTAGTCTCATCACACACAATGTCATCCGAAAAACACACCCTAAATCCAAAATCCAGCAAAGGCCTATGTTTTTGGACAATTCAGTTCTCATCATGAACGTATCAGAAGTTCTAAGTAAGTAGAAATCAAATCTTCAGTCAGATATATGACAACATAAAGAGGCTCTGGGGTATCCACACCTTTCCCAACCCAAGTAGAAGGCTCATGAATGTCGATTCTAGATGCTTTGTTGTAAAATTGTGTTGCTAGAATGAAATGCTCCTCCTTTTCTCTCTGTTTGGTCTCAATTTTTCCGAGGTAGGTGTAGTAGGCCCCTAAAGCATTCAAGATCGCAATCCTCTCATATCGAACATCAGCATAATACTCATCAATCTCTGCACCAAGAAAATAATAATAATAGACAACATTACTCCACAATTTAAACACAATACAATAGACATTAAGCACCTATAGCAAGTACGAAACAAAAATTAAAAAATAAAACAATTTCGGATATTGCAAGTGCCGGGAAAGAATGATTACCAGAGCCAGACCCTTCCTCCAAAATCTGGCGGAACTGCTCAAGTTTTCCTTGTTTGAAATACTCTCTCTGCAGCATTGCCAGTTAAAAAGTAAACAGCATATTCATCGTTTTGTATTAGAAAAATAAATACAAAATTCACTATTATCTTGCATTAGCGTAAAAATTGAAACGTAATTGCTCAGCAACTCAAACAATCATGCCATGAACAAAACATTAAGCATATCCTCTAACAGAAAAGGCATTTAAATCAAAAAACTAAAATGCAAAAAAGACGAACCGCGATAATGAGCCAGAGATCGAGAGAGGCTTGCTCGGCTTTGAGAATGTCGATGATATCAGTAGCTTCCCTTGGGAGCTGATCCAGAACCACCCTCACTTCCTCCTCTGAATTCTGAACCGGTATGTACACGCACGCCATTGATTCCCCCAATCACCAAAAAGCCCAAAAATAAAAAAATAAAAGACAGGTTATCCAAACGAAACCCTAGCTCTCTGCCTATCTCTCTCAACTCGTCTTCGGTGAACTGGCCGGAGGGCGAGAACGGCCACCAATTAGACGCAAAGAACGCGACTTTTCTTCGCGTTTGAACTTCGAAGGTTGTGCTGTGAAAAAACGAAGACCGCTCACACAGTCACTGTCTTCTTTATGGTGTTTCTCATAATATACCAAGCTCTCTGTTTTAAAATACAACCGGAAGAAATAGGCTTTCTTTTTTTTTCTTTTTTTTTAAACCGCCTCGCGCTAAAACCTAGTCCTTTTGGGAAACCCAAAAAAAGAAAAAAAAAAGACCAATTTACTCAGCTCTCTCTCCTCTCTCTCTAAAAGCTGCATCTTCGTCAGCGGCTCACGGCGACTATAAAACCCTAAGCAGAACCGTTGGAATCTGAGACAATGCCACTGAAATGGTAAAGATTGAGAACCCTATTCTTAGGTTCGGAGTATTATGTATAGTAAGTTTTGTGTTTGATTTTCTTTTGGGTTTTAGGGTTTTGCATTGGCAGCCCAATGCAGGGACGACAGTAAACAGCCAAATCATCAACGAAGTGACGCAGTGCGTTGAGAGCATCAATGGCGTTAAGGAAGGCAGGTGGAAAGCCACTATCACCTTCTACAAACCCATGATTCGAGGTAAATTTCTCATCTTTCGTGTTTTCAATTTTGTTTTTCTCAATTTTGTATTATGGTTCTTGTCAATTGTTATGAAGTTGGATTTTGATATATATGTACATGTATGTACATCAGAGCAGGCTTTAGCATGGGACTTCCCGCGTGATTTTCTGGGGATTGCGCTGCCGGAGCAACCGAATAAGTACTACCTTATAATCCGATTGCAGCGCATAGTTCTTGAGGCTGATTCATCTATTCAGATGATTATGGAGAAATTACAGTCTTACAAATCGAGGCTCTCTCTTAATTTTGAGGTCCCTCCTTCCTCTCTCGATTAGTCTAATTAGGATGTTTAATATCCTGATAATTTGAGGTCCAAACAGAGAAAATGGTTTTAATATGATTCTATGTTGGTGTTGTAGGGATTTCAATATCAACTTGGGGACTTCCAATTGAGAGTGGGGAAAGTTCTTCCTACTCATTCTGAAAATTTGAGAGGAATAGTTATGGAGGTACGGACGTGCTCTAAGCTTGAAATTTGTTGGAGATTTGAATACTTTTTTATGGGATTTTCCATTTCTATATTTGGCAAAGTTTTTACTATTGGTGAAGTGAGATATGCATTTTGAAATATCTGAGATTGATAAGGCTTTTATTTTTTTGGGCAGAAAGAGATCAATAAGGTTTGCCATTGAGAAAGTGCCTTTTGGTTTCATTTGAGTGTGTTGGCGTCTAACTTTGACTCTATTTACAAAAGCATGGGATTAATATGCCAAAAGGAGAGAGCTATATCACAGTAAAATTAAACTATGAAAAGTGTGTATCTCCCAAATGTGTTTGGGAGCACTTTATAGTAATGAATGATGGAAGTAGTTTACTTGTTTAGCTACCTTGATAAGAGTTTTCTCACAAGATTGGAATACAGGCTGGATTACTATTTGCCGAACAATGCGAATTCCAAGCTCTGGTTAATATATGATGTTGGTTTCATGATGATTATGTCCGGCATGCACTTTATAGATTGGCTTAGATTGATTTCTGAATCTCCCTGTTGACTTTGATTAATTTCTAAGAAAAGGCAAATCTTTTTAACTACAAATGTATTTGGTTTCAGATCAGTGCTTTAGCTTAGGATTGTGATTGTGCTCTATGAAATATTTAGCAGTGTATGAATTTGCTAGTCTTCAGATTGTTGGTCCTTATATGGTCTTTTTTCCCCTTGTTTCCCCAAGTACCCTTGACTATTCGTCTGCTAAAACGACTGATATTTTATCCAACATCTATTTCATATTTGCTAGATGTTAATCTGGGAAATATTTTCATACTGTCATCGTCTTGGATCCTTTTTAGTTGAAGTTGCTTGTGTTGTACAGGTGGAGTACCTTCCCATTTCTTCGATGGAAAAAGCGAGGCAAGTCATGGAAGACTTTATGGATATATGGCAACAGGCTTTGTCAAAAAGATCATTACCAGGGCACTTTATGCACATGGAACCAAACTTTGATGAGTATGGCCTTGCAGACCAGTATACTTCACAACATACTGCCGTCCAGTATGCTACTGTTGTGGCTCAACTAATTGCAACAGTGCAGGCAGTGCAAGCAAGAAATTAGGAAATGAATAAGAAGAATTTGTTGTATGTCACTTGTCAACTGGTTTTATGAATGGATAACTTCAATCTTAGTTTCTTTGGGACTGACACTCCCTCTGTTTGGATAGAGGAAAATGAGGGAGGAACGAGGGTCTGTACGCAGGTTTGATTGTTCATGGAAGACAAGAAAGTAAAGGCTTGGGTTCTTTAAATGGAAAAATAGACTTCTTCATTACCCTTTGTACAACACATTGTTAACTTATGCTTTCGAGTAAAGCTGCTTCTCCATTTACTTCGTGTTTTCCAAATCCCATTGAAGAGGGCGAATGTCCACAACTTAGTTCTTATTTCTCTGACAACTATAGTATAAACGTATCAAAGAGGATTTTTTAAAGAATAAATATTTGCTATTTTGATAAACATCTTGAAATAACAGGTAGACGTACATCCACATTCAAAAATGAAATAAAGATTGAATAATGCTACTCTTACCACATTTGTATACCACATCCCTATATCATTTTATGTGGCAACTGAGGTAAATAACCACGTCAATTAAAATTATTTAATATTTTCTTTTCTTTTATGATTTATTCCAGTATTTGTTTTTCTAATTGTCTTAATTAAAATACACTTCATTGATTTAATTGATGTGGCATATAATATGGACATGTCACATCATGTGGTATAGAAATATGGAATAAAAATGTGGTAAGTGTAGCATTACTCATAAAGATTAGGAGCGCATAGCATTTGCCCAAGTTTAGAAAGAAAATATGACAAAAATAGAATTCAAGAATCAAATTTGATAAGAGAAAAAAGATGTAAAAAACTCAGAAACAAATAAGGCAGCAGGCCTAAGTTTCTCAAACTGGGCCTTGCCACATATATATATATATATATATATATATATATATATATATATATATATATATATTCCAAACCCATGGGAGTCAGCAAAGAAGTAAAAAGCCGAGACAATCCTTTGCTTTTTGCACGTACTGAAAGATGGTGTGCGAGTGTAAAGGGGCGCACGTCCACGTGAAGGCACACAGAAGCACAGCTTAGGGCCTAAGCGGCGCGCTATAAAAGCCGGATTTGTTGAAAGCGAGAGAGGGGTTTGGTTTGGTTTGGTTTCATTAGCGTTAGCCACCCTCTCTGCCTCTCCCACAGTCATCACTCTGCTTCATTCTCTTTCATTACAGGTTGCCTCCATCATCATCATCATCATCATCATCATCATCATTGTGCATAGAAGAGGCCAAGCAACAGCCTTGGCACGAACCCACTTGACCAAAATCTGGTTTTTGCATTTGTTATACATGGGCTGATGAATTTTTTGTCTTTAATTTTATTTTTTGGTTTCCTGCAGATTGTCATTTAATCTCCAATGGAACCAGAACGAGCTCCCAGGAAGGTTTGTTTGATACCCTGCTTTTGTTGAATTAATGTCCTTTTGTTTTTCTTTTAAATTCTTCAATAGTTTTACTTTTGTTTTCTTCTGATTTTCTTTGCTCTGCTGCAGTTGAGATTCATACCAAAAGCTCCCCGCAGAGTGCCAAAGCCTGAAGTCAAAACGTATTTGTCACTTTTTGTTAAACTTGAAAGTTGTACCCTTTTCTGGTTTAATCTGTTTCTTAACTTCTGTTATTCTTAACCTCTCTACAGCGAAGTGGACCATGGGGCGGAGTCTGATGCTGAAAAGGCTAAGGAATTGCTGAAACGCTTCAATGTAACTGTGTTTTTCATTGATATGGATGTCATGGTTTCAATTTCGTTTCTGATCCCCATATCTCATGTTCTGTTTTGTTTGTGTGTTTACGTGTGTTTTTTTTTTTTTTTTTTTTTTTTGGTGCTCTTTTATAGGAACAATCATCAAGGGCGAGGCTCAAAGTTGAAAAGAAAGGTAAGGCTCTTCGGGTTTAAATAAGCCTGATATCAATGCACATTTGTTTTTTTCATTTTCAGTTTACTCAATAACAAGTGTATAACACAACATATGTAATTCTTCACTTTTATTTCGGCATCTTACACCTGCAATTAACTCAATAAAGTTCAAATCAAATAAAATAGTCAAATAATATGTAGTGAAGTTGTGATCCAATGGAAAATATGCTATAAAATTTGTATCTTGTGGATATTTTGTGGGAGTAGGTTGAACTTGGCTTAAGTAGAGGAAATTTGCATGTCATGATATGTATTCTCTGAATAAGATAATATTTCCTACAATTTGTTGGGATTAGAATTCTCTGTCACTTATTTTTTGAAATTTGCAGTGGTGCCTACACAAATTGTATTTGGTTATGGTGGTGCGTCAACAACCATGAAATCATATGGTGCTCCCAAGGGTGGGAGCTCTAGTTCAGCCACCAATGGTATGGTCTCCTTCTTTGTACTCTTTTTGTTTAGCTGCTAATGAGATGCTTCTAGTACATCACCTTGGATGGTGTTTCTGCAGCTGGTGCCTCAGGCATGAAAGAGGAGAAAGAATACAGTTCACCATGGGTAGGTTACATTACGATTCAAAATATACAAGCCAACTTGACTATGCATTATTGGTTTCTGGTTTCTGCTTTTTCTGTTAACGTCTGTGTGTGTGTATGACTTTAGTTATTTTTATGTTGGATGTTGTTGCAGGATCAATACAGTTATTACCCTGTAACTCTTCCTCTGAGACCACCATATTCTGGAAATCCTGGTATGTTTTGAGAAAAGCATAGGATTATCAATGATGCAACATGGCACATTATAGGTTGTCTAGTCGTTGCATTTTACATAATAGGATACGCATTTACAGGTGGTTTGTGTTTTTTCTCTTTCTTTTTTTTTTTGGTTTTGTTTTGTTTTCCATCTGATCATTTCTGTTTCATCTACTGTCAAGGTGAAATTCGACTTGTGTTACAAATAAATGCACCTAATGTTCTACCTATACCACTTGCAGAAATTCGTAATGAGGAAGAATTTGGGGAGGGTTCAGAAGAATCAACTTATGATGAAAATTCAACAACACCAGCAAATGATCTTGGGCTGTTGGTTAGTAATCCCACA